ATCCTATGAAAATGCACGTGAAATTCAAGAAAAAATGCGTCCTTCAATTGATCTTGATCTGGCAGTTACCTATAGTAATATGGGTCTTCTATATACAAGCTTAAATGACACTTCGAATGCATTATTATATCATCAAAAAGCTCTTGAAATACGAACAAAAAATCTCGAAGTAAATCATCCAGATTTAGCTACTACTTATAACAATATCGGACTCGTATATGATCAAAGACAAGAATTTTCAACTGCTTTGTCATATTATGAAAAGACACTTAAAATCTATACACAAATTCTTCCAGACAATCATCCTTGGTTGGCTACGACTTGCAAAAATATTGGTCTTGCCAAAATATCGATGGGAGAATGTATGATTGGACTCAATAATCTTTGCAAAGCAAGAGAAATACGAAAAATAGCACTTCCTTCTAATCATCCATCAATAGCTTCTATATGTGGTACCATCGGTGGAATATATCAAGAAGCAGGAGACTATACCACTGCACTCAAGTTCTATGAAGAAGCATTAGATATTGGAAAAAGAGCTCCACATATCGATTATGCATGTTTGGCTATGACTTATTACAATATGTCGAGAATATTGAATGAGCTCAAACAATATGATAAGGCCCTGAAATATGCTGAACTTGCGGTGCAATCAGCTAGTAAATCTTCAATGACAACGAATTCCGATGCAGTAAAGTTTAAGAAAAACTTCGAACAACTTCAAACAAAACGATTATGACTCCATTTTATTGACACTATTTTTAAAAACGTGTGTGGGCATGACTGTTGGTCATTTTTTCATTCAGACATTCACATCCTTTTTAGAGAAGGTTTCTGCATTCTGAGTTTGTGAGTGGGTGTGGGTGAGTATGGGTGACGTGTGTGGTGTGTTTTTCTTTCCATCAATATGTTGCACCCATACCCACACCCTGCGTTCTGTCTTTCTTCCTGAAATTTTTCTGTTACGAGCAGTTAGCGATTACTAATCTTTCGGTGGACCGATTGATCTATGCAAAAGAGAAACAGCTATATAGTTGAGAGAAAGTGAGTTGATTTCAAAGAGAAAATAAACAAATGCGTACTTGAAAAATTAATATATATACAGAGTGTTCAAAAAGTCCGTGAGAAAAGTTTACGTAAATATGTCCTATGGAATTCAAGCGAATTAATTTCTTTTTTTTTTATAGAATGATAGTATATTATTTGAAGTTTTATTTCATATAATTTGGTTTTAAAAAATGTTCAAAATGACTACAACCAACTGAAATACATAAATCTATCATTTTTGTAATAATTGAAAAAATACTGTAGAGAGTTTATTTTCGAATTATGTTTAGCGATAAATCATTTAAATGAAAAGTAGTTTCATCGATAAACAACGAATTCTGTTGAATGCTGGTAGTCTCTAACATTTTATATAACTTCAACTCGATTTTTTGATGATCGTTCTCGTGAAGTTTTTAGACAAATAACTTGTATGACTTCATTAGAAGATAGTCAGTCATAATTGAGTGTGCTGTCATTTGTGGAATAAAGAAACCTGTTGCAACAGCTCGAATACTCGATAAGGACTCTTGTTCGCAAACATTGTTGACTTCATCGTTTTTTTTTGTTCTATAATTTTTTTTACGTGTTTTATGAAGTTGTTAATTGGTATTGCATTAGTTTAGCAAAAGTATTGAAAAATATATCTAATACACTCTATATCTAGCGTTTTAATGACAAATTCGATTTGAAGTTTTCGTTTCACAACTATAGATGACTCAAATTTGACCAATTATAAAACTATTCGTATTCTATTGATTGTAGACACAAATATTTATCTGAAAATATACAGAACAAAACTTTAAAGAGACTATTATACTATAAAAAATATATGTAAATCGCTTGAACTGTTTAACAGTTATTCACAAAAAATTTTCTCACGGACTTTTATAACACCCTGTATAAAGAAAAAATGTTTAGTTACCAAAAAGATCTCTGTCCTATTTGAATAAAATAAAGTTTTTTTTTTCGTTGATCTGAATCTTTTGCAAAAATTTACTAAGACGCCAAATGATGAAGAAGAAAACATGATTTACAATTGATAACAAGAATCTTAAAAGTTCTAGTTGAGAATGTATTTCACTGGAAACAGTTAATGCAAAGATTATTTCTTTCTAGCTGTAGGAGACTTTCTACCGAAATTCTGTTTCCCACTGAGCATAACCAAACGAAAGCCAACGTTACGAGCACGAATGAGGTCTTGAAATTATCACGCTTAATCACAAGAGGAAGGGAGAAACTCCACAATCGAGATCACATGATTTCCTGAACAGCTGCATAGATACATCTATAACTCAACTATTAGATATTTTACCATCATCAAATTGAGATTGTAGATTTTTAACTGAAACATCTATAATCATATTAACTGGTTCGAAATTTTTGATGTTGTGCAGAGTTGATAAAGATTACATCATTAGAAAGAGCGTGAAAAGTGATTATTGAGTATTCTATAGTCTCAAGCAGATTTTTTTTCAAAAAATTGATTTTCCAGCAAAACCAGCGAGAATTTATGTTTTCCTCTGAGCAATTTTTTTTCTTTCTCATTCTGAATCATCGGTATACATATATACGTATGTGTGTAGAGACACGTCACATGATATTTGTTTACTGTGTGAGATAAGAATCTTTTAATTTGAGAAAAAGAACCTTACGTGAACTTCAAGATTATAAAGTATTTTAAGTGATCAATTAAGAAAAATAAGAAGCTAGAAAGAACGTTGACTAGTGTCCTCTATGAGTCAGATTCACTAGCTTGCAATATTGAATTACTAGTAAAAAAAGAATATGAAAAGACCATATTGTATCCTATCATAAACATCGAAAAGGTAGGACGAAGAAAATACCACGCATCACTTTTTTTTGTATAGTAAGGCACGGTATTCTGACCCTCATCATCACTATAAAATTCTGTTTTGATTCATATGGCTTACAAATCATCAGTTCTAGACATCGAAAAAAACTTGTCTGTTGGTACACACGATAATGAAAATAAAGAAAGTACAACACTTATTTGGTTTGATCCAAATATTAAATCACATGAAGATATTGAAAAAACAAAAGAACAACTTCGTCTTATTAATGATTATGTCATTTTTTTTTACTGATCTTGAACAATGTATTAGATATATTGAATCAATAGATAAAGAAAAAATCTTATTAATTATATCAGGATCGAAAGCATCAGAAATTTTACCTCGAATTTGTTCTTATCATCAAATTGATTCAATCTTTATCTTTTCTATCGAAAAAGATCAATATGAATATTTATTAAATGAATATTCAAAAATAATTGGAATTTATATTAATTTTGATGATTTATATAAATCAATAAAAGAACAAATTGATCTTGTTAATAAACAAATAGAGACACTTTGTTATTTTGATCAACATCAAATATTAACGAAAGATCTATCAAAGGAATCAGCAAAATTTCTATTGTTTCAATTATTTAATTATGTTATATCTCATTTTTCACGAAATGAACAAGCAAAACAACAAATGATTGAAATATGTAAAGAATATTATGATGAAAATAACAAAAGAAATCAAATTAATTAATGAATTTGAACAAAATTATCGATCACAAGATGTTATTCGTTGGTTTTCGTAACAATCATTTATTTATAAATTAATTAATAAAGCATTAAAAACAGAAGATATTGATTTATTATATCAATTTCGATTTTTTATTAGTGATCTTTCTGAAAATCTTCAACGTCAACATGAAAAAATTCTATTATCACAAGAAAAAATTTTAAATGTTTATCGAGGAATCAAACTTGACAAAGAAGAATTTAATAAATTAAAACAAAATCAAGAAAAACTTATTTCAATAAATGGGTATCTATTAACTAGTTGAAAAAAATCACAAGAATTCGATTTTGCAAATAAACCAACTAAAAGAATTGATATCATTTCTATTCTTTTCCATATTCAATGTGATATTGAAAAAATTGATAAAAATATTTCATTGGTGATATTGATCAATTGAATGAATATTCAAATGAACAAGATGTTTTATTTAATTTAAATGCTTGTTTTAAAATTGAATCTATTGAAGAATATCAATCATTACAAATAATTAAAATGAATCTTTCAAATCAAGGACAAAAAATTACTAAAAATTATATTGAATTAAAACAAAAACATAAAGAAGAAAGTATTTCAATTGTTTTTGGAAGATTATTTTGTAATTTAGGAGAATATGATAAATCATTAAAATATTTTCAACAATTATTCAATGATTCAAATAATGAAGATCGTGCTTGGATTGAATTTAATATTGGTCGTGTTCTTTCTTTTAAATATCAATGGAATGAAGCTCGAATATATTATGATCATGCATATAATCGAATGATGAACAATAAACCATCACGAATAAAAGATTCTGCTCATGTTCTCAATAACATTGCTTGTATTTATGTTAATCAAGGAAAATATGATCAAGCTCTTGATTATCATCAACGAGCATTAGAAATTCGAGAGAAATTTTATCCATCTAAATATATCGATATTGCTCAAAGTCTGTACAATATTGGTTGTATTCTCGATCAGCAAGAAAAATACAATGATGCTCTTGATTATTATCAAGGAGCATTGAAAATTCAAGAGAAAGTTTATTCATCTGATCATGCCAATATTGCTAGAAGTCTCAGTAATATTGGTATTATTCTCTATCAACAAGGAAAGTACGAGGTAGCTCTCAATTATCATAAACGAGTATTGAAAATTCGAGAGAAAATTTATTCATCTGGTCATATCGATATTTCTTATAGCCTCAATAACATTGGTATTATTCTACGTAATCAAGGAAAGTACGTTGAAGCTCTCGATTGTTATCAAAGAACATTAAAAATTGAAGAGAAATTTTATTCACCTGGTCATGTCGATATAGCTAAAAGTCTTGCTAATATTGGTAACATTCTTTTCGATCAAGGAAAGTACGAAGAAGCTTTTGACTATTATCAACGAGCATTGAAAATTGAAGAAAGATTCTATCCATCTGATCATGTCTATATTGCACATAGTTTGAATAATATTGGCATTTGTTATGAAAATCAGAATCAGCGAAAGATGGCACTTGATTATTATCACCATGCATTGGCTATTTATGAGAAGTTTCTTCCTGTCGATCATCCACGTCGACAGAAAACCGAGCACAATATTCGTCGACTTACTGAAAGAAAACACAGCCATTAAATGACAGAATTGAGAATAAAATTTCAATATGAATGTAAAGATTTTATTCTAGTGTTCGAATGTTTGTTTCTACTTGTAAATATTCGACATTTATAGATTCAATCAATGCTCCATTCTCGTTATTATATGATGATTGAGATTGACAAGAAACTTGAAATTATGATTAAGATTTATTTATTTTTTTTGTGAATTGGTTACGAGAAAAAATTATTTTATTTTATTCAATTATAAATACTGAAAAACTAAATCGGAATCGATTTTTGTTGATTCAATTAAAAAGAAATGTTTTTTTTTGTTTTCAAAAGTTTTTTCGGTGAAATTCATTTTAATAAAATATTTTTTAAATTTAATTAAAATTTTTAATTTTTCGAATTAAATCGATTTTTATTAAATGATAGAATCTTTGAAAAATTTCCATAAATCTTTCGATATGATTAGTGGCATAGCCAGGAGTTTTAAAACTTCTTGGCATCACAAAAACCGATGTTTATTGAAGAGAAATTCATTACTCAAGCTCGTTCGTTTTTTTTGTACTGTTTCACAAATGTACTCTTCAACTTTCAAATATTTGAATATATTACGTCAAAAAGTATAAATAGAGCCTTCAGCGAAATAGGAATTTGACAAAAAGAAGACCACCATCGAATTACAATCATTGGAAGCATCGGTTTCATGGAAAAAAAAGTCAGTTGCTATTTCTAGACCACTTGATTAGATCATAACAAGATACAATGTAGTAAAATGATACCACTTGGGTTCTTGTTAGAGCTCATCAGGCCCAAGAATTTCTGAAATCAGACCCAACTGATTAAAATTTGTTGGATCCGGATAGAACCCGATAGACTCTAGTGCTTGTTCATGTATGTATTTCAAGATTTTTTGGCATTGGACAATTGGTATTAGTTCCCCAAAAAGTCCATGGGGTGCTTGCTTTCGAATTTGTAGGTTACCGCCCACTGGTGGTACTCCCTGACTATGCCACTGGAACTATATGACGATGTTCACTATAGGAGAAGTTCATTTCTAACAAAAAAATAATAGCTGCGACTTTGAAAAATGTTCGCTCTGCAGAGACTGAATTCCAGTAAAAATTACTCTGTCGGACCGCGAATTGTTCCCTATGGAAGGTTTTACTGTGTTTTTTTCTTTGAATACATATTCATCATATACTCATTGAATTTGTTATATCAGTAGATTGTTTATCTTTCCCATACGACAAAGTTCAAATGAATCTAGTCATTCCTCAACATCCTTTAAAGTACAAAAAGATGACAAGACTTGATTGTGAAAATTTTCTAGACGACAGTCTAGAAAATGGAAATACTCCAATCAACAAATGATTCGATCGTTCATTCGAAATATATGTTGTCAGTATTACAATTAGATTTTTGTTTCATTTCTATTTATCGAATAAATAAAT